CAAAGAAAGTGATCCCACAGAATGTAGAAATTGTTTAACAATATCATTAATATCACACACAAGTAAAATCTTGCTGAAGATAATTCAAAACGGTTGCAGCAGTACATTGACAGAGAACTTCCAGAAATGCAAGCTGGATTCAGAAGAGGATGTGGAACAAGGGATATCATTGCTGGTGTCAGATGGATCTTGGCTCAAAGCAAAGAATACCAGAAAGATGTTTACTTGTGTTTTATTGACTATGCAAAAGCATCCGATTGTGTGGATCATAACAAATAATGAAAAACATTGAGAAGAATGGGAATTCCAGAACACTTAATTGTTCTCAAGAGGAACCTGTACATAGACCAGGAGGCTGTTGTTAGAACAGAAAAAGGAGATACTGCATGGTTTAAAATCAGGAAGGGAGTGTGTCAGGATTGTATCCTTTCATTATACTTATTCAATCTATATGCTGAGCAAATAATCTGAGAAGCTGGACTATATGAAGAATGCATCAAGATTGGAGGAAGACTTTTTAACAACCTGCAATATGCAAACACACAACCTTGCTTGCTGAAAGTGAAAATGACTTGAAACACAGTATGGATTACACCTCAATATAAAGAAAACAAAAATCCTCACAACTGGACCAATAAGCAGCATCACAATAAATGGAGAAGACTGAAGTTGCCAAAGATTTCATATTGCATAGTTCCACAACCAACACCAGTAGAAGCAGCAGTCAAGAAACCAGAGTATTGCACTGGGCAAATCTGCTACAAAAGACCTCTTTAAAGAGCTGAAGAACAAAGATGTCCCTTTGAAGACTAAGGGGCACCTAACCAAAACCATGGTGTTTTCAGTCACCTCATATCCATGTGAGAGATGGACAATGAACCAAGAAGACTGAAGAAGAGTTGATGCTTTTGAGTTGTGGTGTTGGAGAAGAATGCTAAGAGTACCATGGTCTGCTATAAAGGACTAACAAATCTGTCCTGGAAGGAGTGCAGCCAGATGCTCCTTGGAAGCAAGAAAAGCCAGACTTCATCTCACCTACTTTGGTCATGTCAGAAGGGACTATTCCCTGGAGAAGGATATCATGCTTGGTTCAGGTACAGCAAGTATTATGAGGCTGGTGCAGGACCCGGCAGTGTTTTGTTCTGTTGTACATGGGGTCGCTATGAGTTGAAGCTGACTGGACAGCACCTAACAACAACAACAACATGCACCCAAAAATAAAACTCTTCATTTAAAAAAAAAGTCACTGACACCCTCCAATCTCTTTACCAGTTCTGACACCAACCATCCTTCCCAGGGCATTCTTTACTACTCTGCTGGGTTCAATAACTCGTTGCAATAGCCATATAGAACTCACACAACACTCACAATTATGGGATTTATTAGGGAAGTAACAGGTTATAATTCAGGTTCAAGAATACTCAGAATACAATTCTTCAATCAGGACAGCTTCTTCTCAGCCATGCCGTAGGCACACGTCTCTCTGACCCTGGCCTCTGCCCTGCTCAGGCCAGTGTTACAAAGCTCTTTTAGCCTTGCTGATAGGCACCCCAAAAGGCATACTGCCTGAAGGCACTCAGCTTTCTTGCTCCATGGGCTGGGAAGCCTGCTGTTGGGTCTTGTGCTGGTCTCTAGCTTCTGCTGCCTCTGCTGCACTTTCTCTCTGCCATCATCTCAGTGCACAGATCTCAGGTCCAAGGCCGTGCTCCATTCCTGGCCTTAATGGTAGTGAGATCCACCTTTTTCCACGTCTGAGATGGCTCACCGTAAGCCTAGAGAGATGGCAAAACTGACCAATCCTCACATTAGGGTTCCATACACCTTATTTGCACAGTCCCACCCCCACAAAGGCACCATGTATCTTATCTACATTATTAGCAAGCTATCTAATCCCCTTGGTGGGCCACAAGCACCTTACATTTGCATGGTTCCACCCAGTCATCTGGTGGGAGTCACAAAGACCATGGCTAAAAAAGCTATACCGAGTAATTCACTCCATCACATAGATAATGTGCATTCCATATTGAGGGCTGAATATATTTGTATTCCTATGAAAGTTCTTGAGATTTGTTGTGCAATTGTTACTTGAAAACAGTTGGCTAGTTTCAGGTCTTGATTTTGTGATTTGTTAGGTGGGTCTGGAGCAGGAGGAAATGAAGTTGAATGAGGCATTAGTGGATACACGGGCCTGAACACTAATCTCAACGACATAGATAAGGGGATAGCCAAAATTCAAGGATGGGCACAGTGCAGTCTCAGCCCTACCTTAGTCCTCTCCTTCCTGAGGTGGTAGCTACATGAAGAGGTCAGAGAGGGATGAAGTGTTACCCAGCTGGACTTGGGGTGTGTTTAGTTATCTAGTGCCAGAAATACAAGTGAATGGCTTTAACAAACAGAAGCATATTCTATTCACAATTAAGAAGGCTAGAAATCTGAATTCAGAGCACTGGTTCTAGGGGAAGGCTTTCTATGTCAGCTCTGGAGGAAGGTCCTTGTCTCCTTTCAACATCTGTGAGGTTGGTATCCCTTGGAGATCTCCCTGTGTCTTGGCATCAATCTTCCCTGGGGTCTAGGAGGTTCTCAGCATAGGGACCCTGGGTCCAAAGGACACATTCCACTCCTGGCTCTTCTTTTTCAGTGGTACTGATGTCCCCTCTTCTCTGCTCCCTTCTCTCTCCTTTTATCTCTTGTAAGATAAAAGGTAATGCATGAAACACCCCAGGAAACTCCCCTTACAATGGATCAGGGCTGTGACCTGAGTAAGGGTATTGACTCCGATTAGCTGATCACACCAGATCACATCATGGGCAATGATTACATTATTTATTACATAACTGCCAAAACACTAAAAATCATGGCCTGGCCAAGTTTACACATTTGGGGGGGTGTTACACAACTCAGTCCATTATATTGGGGGATCCTCTGGGACCCAAAACCTCAAAACAGGAAGAAATTAAACCTCAAATGCAGCCCTGGAAAACAGCTGTCCAAGAAGAGGCTCACCGGGCAGCTCTGAGTTGCCCTTAATGATCAGGCCAATGGCCTTGGGAAATCTTCACGTTACTCAAGGGCCTCAGCTTACTTGTTTACAAGTGCTCTGCAGAGCTCACAAGGATGTTCTGTAAAATTAAAAGCATGCAGAGGCTCTAACCACAGGACTCAGGCCCTTTTCACACACCAGCCTAACCAATGTAAGTACCACTAGAGGGGCCTCAAGATTTGTGATAAGATGCCCTACAGATGGGGACTAAGACTATTTGTGTAGGAGGCCAAAGAACCCAGGATTTTGAATACTCATGACTTGCCCCTACTTCCTTGCAAGACAAGGTTCCTTTGCCTGGGTATGTAGCCTCTTCCCTATGCCCTCAGCTCTAACAAGAGCTAGGGTGGGTAGTCTCTTACTCTCCAAACTCAAAGGCCTAAAAGTATCAGGAAAGTCGCCTGGAACTTCCAGACCCAGGCATTTCTCTCATTTCTTTCCTTCTATCCCCAATTCCCCACCCCAGTCAGATAGGCAATATCTGAAGATGAGTGGCCAGAGTTCCTGTCTACCCTCTGGTCTACAGATGGGCCAGCCTCTGCACCAGACCTGCCCTCATCCAGCTTTCGCTGGAAGAGCCTGAAGAAACTGAGGCTGGCTGACAGACCAAGTGGCTCACCCAAGTCCATGCCACTGGCTGCCTCTGGTAGATAAGGCCTGTCTCCCAGCTCCTCATATATGCCTCAGAATTTCTTCTGGTAGGATGGGGTAGCTCGGGTCATCCTTTGTATCCTCTGCACTAACTACAGACCCAGGAGGGTCTCTAAATCTGGTGTTGTTGTTATTTGCCATCGAGTCGGCCCTGACTCAGTGAGCTGCTGGTATATCTATGTTCTTGGGCACTCCCATCACCTGCCAGAGCCTCAGGTTTTCCCAACTAGGTTATGGGCTAATGTTTACTGGAGGCAAAAATTAGATAGCACTGGCATAGACTCTTTCGAAAAGTTAGTTTCAAAAAGCAATATGGCAAGCATGTGATTTTTTGTGGGGGAGGCAGCTGGTATAAAACCATAAACACACACACAAGTAATTGCAGATTCACATGTTGTTGTTGTTGTTATGTGCCGTGGAGTTGGACCCGACTCATAGCGACCCCTCCTTTATAGTTGCTAGAAATAATAGAAATTTCCTTGTACAACTTTGCCTGGTTTCTGCCATCTAGATAGTATGTAACACAATCAGGATACTGACACTAATACAATCCACCAGTCCTATTCAGAATTTCCCCAAAATACCGTATTTTAATTATCAGATCACAAAAGTTTTCATCTAAGCTTACCAAGTTGCCAGTAACACTGGGGGACCTCTCCCGGCTGCTCCGTCTGTGTCCCCTAAACCGGAAAGAAGTGAACAGGGAGAAGTTAACATTCAGGGCATATTATGTATGTGTCAGGCTCTTTACTCATGTCATCATTTAATTCTCACAACAGTCTGTTTATCCAGGCGTTAAGACTGAGGCGCAGCGAGGGTGCATGGCCCCACCGTACAGCACGTGAGGGGCTAAGGGCTAACCCAACTTGGCTGGCTATCCGCCGAAGAGAAGCCCAGCATTAGGAGGGTTGGAGAGTTCAACAAACACTAATGCAGGCCTTGTGGGTCTTGCGTAGGGTTCAACCACCTGGGTTAAATGTTAGAGCGCGGCATGTCTTTGTCCTTAGACTGACTCTAACCAGAAAAGTGAGCGAGGTGGAAACAGCAGACGCAGGCCTCTGCCGCTGCTAACTCGAACTGCTGAGCGCTAGGGCTCTCAGGAAGGTACAGGGTGGGCCCCGGGGGACGCCGGGAAATCGTACTCACAGGCCCAGCTTCTTCCCGAGCGCCCTCCCCGCTGTGTAGCCCTCGGCTGCCCCCTGCCGTTGTGGGGTAGATCCTGCAATCCCGACCACTATCTTCGCTCCGCCCACCCTCCTGTCTCCGGATTGGCGTCTCCACTGGTCTCTGGGCCGTCCCGCCCTCGGTCACTGGATTGGCTGCTCCCGGGTTCTGAGGCCCCGCCCATTTCCCCGGGTCCTTTGATCACGCGCCGGCTGCCTCTTCCGGGGCCCGAGAGCCAGCGAGGGAGTTCCTGTCGGGGCTGCAGCGGCGGGAGGTAAGGCATGGCTAGCATGGCGGGGTTACGGGGCTGGTGTAGCGGGGACACAGGTCCACGCCACGGGATGATGCCAGGATGCCTGGACGGGGCAACCCCTTCGTGTGCCCCCAAGCACCCTCCTCCCGGGCCTGAGCCTCCCAGCTCTGTGGGGAACTACCGCTTGCTGCTGCTGGCCGGCATCCTAGGACTGCCTGACACCCTCCCCACTCTGGTATACCCCCGCGACTGGGTGCGGGGTAGCCGCGTGCCCCACGGACACGGAGGCTGGTAGCTCATACCTTGCTCTCGGAAGGAGACGTAGGCGAACCTTGACCCCTTGGGTCAGGGGCTTTGAGGCGTCTGAGTAAAGCCACCCTCCCTATACAGCAACTTCTTGTTTGCATCTGTCAGTGAGGAGTTTACCTTCCCACCTCTGCCCTGTCAGCCTTAGGCAGGAGAGGAGGAACCTGGGCAAGCCCAGGGTGAGTACGGAAGAAAGGTGACATCACTTTGCAGATAAGATCCAGCCACAGCACTCCCTGGCACACGAAACTAATAGGAGAAAGGGGCCCAAGCTATATATCTGGGATAACACCAGGGACAAGGAAGGTAGAGAGCCCAGGCATGGGGCCAGTAGCCTGAAATGTGGTGATTAGGTCTGGACAGAGGGGAGCTCTTTAAAATGCTACCACCTCATCCCTAGGCTGTAGGGCAGGACCCTCCTATGTGTACGTCATCTCCCCAGCTGCCCCACTGCATGGGTGCTGGCTGTCCAGTGCCCCAGGAGGTCTAGGGCAGCAGCCAGGACTGGAACTTGGGAGTTGGAACCTGCAAGTATTTAGCTGGCATCTGAGCTGGGTCCCATTCTTCTTCGGAGAGAGGAGCTGGGGAAGACTGAGCCCTGGGTCTTGGCCTTCACTTGGTGCTCTTTACCCCCAGGATCTGCTGAGAGTTAGTGGAGGGTTACAGCCAGCATGCTGGAGGATTCTCAGTCCCAGTATCTAACTTTTTATAGATCTCCAGCTCTGGGGAGGGGTCCAGAGTTTGGCTGTCACCCTGGGTGAAATGGATAACCTCCCTTCCTCCTCCCCAGGGAGCCCAGTGGAGGCGCCCTCCCGAGGCACCACACTGCCCATGCTGACTACCCAGCCCTCCGGCTTGGGCCGCCACTGCCGATGTCATGAGTAACACTACAGTGCCCAATGTCCCCCAGGCCAACAGCGACTCCATGGTGGGCTACGTGTTGGGGCCTTTCTTCCTCATCACCCTGGTTGGGGTGGTGGTGGCTGTGGTAAGAAGCCACACACACACATACACACACATGCCTTTGCTGAGGCAGGGCTGGATGGGCCGTGTGCAGCATGCACGCAGCCTGTCTCAGCTGTCCTACAGTTAGTGGGAGTGAAGGGTGTGGAGGGGCTCTCCTTTCACTTGTGGGCATTCCTAGGCTCAGCAGCCTCCACAGTGCTGTTTCTCTGTTACAGGTAATGTATGTACAGAAGAAAAAGCGGTGAGTGTCCTTTGGGTGGGGACCCTGCCCCAGTGCTATCTCCCTGCCATTCTGCTGAAATTTCTTCCCATAGGATCTGAGTTCTCTGCATACATGTAGGATGTCCCTCAGCCCTCCTGACACAAGCCTGAAATTCCCTATCCCAGAGGTTATGTTTTCCTGCCCCAGCCTCATCTTGCCCGCCCCCCTCCCAGGGAGAGGCCATTGCAGGAATGGGCAAGTATTCTTAGATCCCTAGCTGGCCCTGGGAGGAGGTATGGACGGCCTGGGGGAATGGAGACTGGGCAGGCAAGTGTCTGATGGGGGAGTGGGTCCCTGTGCTGAGTCTCCCCATCTCCCCAGGGTGGACCGCCTTCGCCATCATCTGCTCCCCATGTATAGCTATGACCCTGCGGAGGAGCTCCACGAAGCTGAGCAAGAGCTGCTCTCTGACGTGGGAGACCCCAAGGTGAGCATGCTGGCTGGCAGCAGGGAGAACTGGGCAGAGGTGGGAGGCTGCTCTGTAGTCACCCATACTCAACCCTAAAACTAGTCTTCTGCCCTAGTGGGTTACTTCCTCCAGTTGATTCCCAAGGCCAGAGCCCAGCCCTGTGGCACAGTCTCCTCCCTCACAGGTGGTACATGGCTGGCAGAGTGGCTACCAGCACAAGCGGATGCCTTTGTTGGACGTCAAGACATAAAACTAACCCCTAGCCCTGATCTTCAGAACGTTGGGCTCCTGGTGTGCCCAAGAGGCCCATAGCCTGCTGCTTCCCCCCTCCCACTTGTACTCACCTAGCACCCTGCTGGGTTCTGGATCCCCATTCCTCCTCCCACTCCCCAAGCCTCTGCTTAACAGGCTGCTCCTACCTACAGCCCTTTGTGAGCTCTGAGCCTACCACCCACCCCCAGGCACTAATGGAGGATAGCTTTTCCTTCTGAGTGGAGGTGGCTGGGAGGGCTTCCTCTAGGAGTCCTTGAGTGGTACAGAAGGGTTAATGCACTAGGCTGCTAAGGTTGGAGGTCAAATCCACCCAGAGGTGCCTCAGAAGAAATGCTTGGCAACAACTTCCAAAAAATCAGCCATTTAAAAACCCTGTGGAGCACTTCTACTTACATGGGGTTGCCATGAGACAGAATTGACTTGATAGCAACTGGTTACCTTCCTCTAGCCCTCCCTGACTTAGCTTTAGCATAAACCCCCAGGAGGGCTTAGAGGTTTCCATGGTGAAAGGACCTGATGTATAGTATTCAATATATATATATTTTTTTTTTTGTAAATAAAATGTTTTGTGGCTAGGGGTGTGGTCGATTTCTTATAAGAGGTGCTTTGTTTCCTTCCCTGGAGCTGACCCCAATGCTATTCTCTTATCAGTGGAGAGTACAGTGGGGGTGGGGCATTTCCTTAGTACCACCCCTACCCACTGGGTCCTTGCTTCCCACCCTACCTCAGGTTCTAGGAGAACTCTCATCAAACACACACACAAAGACTCCAGTCCAGAAAAGGATATTTTTTTATTCAAGTAACTGCAAATAGGAAACCAGAGGAGGGCCCCAGGCTGGGACAAATAATGGCTACCCCCTCCCCGACAGAACAAGGGGAGAGGATGGCCCCTACACCCTCACCGGTCAACATGTGCCACCCCTCCTCACTCTGCTGCAGCATGCTAGGGGCAGGGCCCCACCTTCCCTGGGACTGGGGTCGTCAGTAACCCAGCCTGCTACACCCCAGTCCCCTTCCCCTTGAAGTAGAGCATCTTGGGGGAGGGGAGCGTGGGCAGAACAGGGGGAGGTGATGAGGACGAACATTTGGCACTGGTAGCAGCAGCAGTGATGACGGATGTCTAAGAATGAAACATTGAACAACAACAAAAAAAAACAACACAACTGTCCAGAGGTAGTTTGTGAACAGAGGAAAGATGGAACCAGAACCTTGGGGGACAGGGAGGAGCAGGAGGGACGGACGTTGGCAAGGCTAGCTCCTGGATATTAGTGCCCCCTCTGAAGGAGGAAACTGAGGCCTACAGTGAAAGCGGACAGGGTGGGTTCAACATCCCAGTTCACCTTAAGTGGCTGCCACAGGGACCCTGGGACTCCTTGAGCCCACTTACTTAAATGGTGACTCAGGACACCTATTAATGCAAACAGTGGAGGGAAGAGGGCTCAAATCCTTCCTCCTGCCTTCCTTCCTGTGCCCCAAAGGAGGGTCACTGTCCAACCTAGTACAGGGACTAAGGAAGGTGGGGAAGGAAGAAAGGGAGGTATGAGCCCCACCTGGTACAGGCTGGGGGCATCCTCAGGTGAGCACCCACCTCAACTGACCACATCTGCTGCTGCCAGTAAGGTGGAATGGGGCATGTCAGAAGATGGGGCATAGGCCCCTTTAAGGCCAGGGGAGCCCACCTCGGCTCCTTTATGGGGAGCCAGAGGGGAGAGTGGGAGAGCAGAAGGGCCCAGGCAGCAATGTCCCCACCCAAGAGGATGGGGATGCAGCAGGTGCAGGGTGCGGCTAAGTGGGACATTAGCCTTGTCCAGGAGGGCCAAGTGTGTGTTGTGCCTTGGGGAAGGAAGGGATCGCTGGGAACTGAACCAAAGGAAAACTGCTCCCCACTCAGCTGTGGGGGCCCTACAGCGGCTGGTGTGCTGTGTAGTGTGTGATGGTGAGGCGTGGGGGGTGGCAGTGCCCAGGAGGGGTTGGCGATGCGTGGGCCTCGGGGCAGGGATGGGGGGCATGGGAGCAGAGCAAAGCTGTCCAGTCCCAGAAGGAAACGGCTCCTCGGGTCCGGAGCAGGCTGCACGGTGTGGTCCGTCACTGCTCCTCCTCTGAGGACTCCTGCGAAATGCCCTCTTCTTCCTCCTTCTCCTACAGAGTGGGAGCAGGAAGGAAAAGGACTCTCAGCAAGGGCTGGGACTGGCCCCTCCTACTCTACCCCCAGAGATCTGGGAGGGGGTGGGAGGCAGTATGAGGAGGAGAGGCCAGACTCACCCCCACCTCTCCAGCACTCCCTGGCTCTGGAGAAAAGGAGGGGGGAATGAGATGAGTCAGGGCTGAGTGTGTGGATGACTCAGCAACCTCCATGGCCGGGTTTCATTCATAAAAAAAGGAGGAATTTAAAGAGGGGGAAAAAAAAACCACACACATGCCGCTCACACACAGAGCCAGGAGCCAGGGCCCCATCCCCAGGCCCATTGCAGGGGTGGGGTGGGGGTGGCACTGGGGGCAGCTGAGCTCTGTGGGTGGGAAGGGGAGGGAGGGAGGGAGGAGCTGGGAAGGGAAGGAGTAGGTTGAGAGTGAGGAGCCCCCTGCCAGGTGGTCTTGGCACACAAGAGGCAGGTGTGTTAGAGCACCAAGCAGCCCTAGGGGTGGCAGTGGGCTGACCCCAGGCCAGGGCGGAGAGGAAGAGGAAGTGTGGGCTCACTCACTGGGCGGGAATGTCGGGACACCGCACGGGCCCACAGCCCCCGTGCCAGGCACAAACTCCAAAACAACTTGTTTCCTGTTACTCACTCCTGGGGCCCAGCCAGAGCCCCCCTAACCCCACCCTCACCCTAGTGGTGGCTCAGCTCGAGGAATGAGCACCTCAGGGAGTTGAGAGGGTAAGCTAGGGGCAGAAAGGGCCAGGAGGATGGCTGGGATGGTTCCAATTGCAGTGCACCCTGGAGGCAACCCAGCAACCCCTGCCAGCTATTTGGGTCCCTAAAGATAACACCTCTCAGTGTCTCCTCATGAGGTATGGTGGGGCCACACCTCACTCCCACTTAGCCCTTAGCCTCCAGGGCTGAGCTCCTTTGCGGGTTTTTTCCCTCCCTAGCTTTGTCCTTCCACCAAAGGGACCGCAGTAAGGACAAACCTCATTCCTTCCCCCTGTGGCCTCCACTCTTCCTCTCTATAATGGGTGCCAAACTAGATGACCTTCAAGATCTCCCCTAAACTTCTAAGTCTGTTCCAGAAGCAGAGGGGAGGAGAGATACAGAACAGGGATATCTGGTTGATACCTGGACTCCTCACCTCTCACAGGCTCAGCCTGGATGCAGAAAGTCTAGGTAGGCCCTAGGCAAACCCCTACCCTCTCTTGGTTTCTGTAAACCGATGTCCCAACACTCCCAGCCTGAGAAACAAGGAGGGCAGTCTTTCCACTGCAGGTTCTGGGATCAGGCATCATCCATCCATAGCACCCTCCCCACAAAGAGCCAAGGAGATGAGCAGCAGTTGCTCCTTCACCTACCAGCTTTTTGGGTCTGCCCCTCGGTTTCCTCCCTGGAGCTGTGGTGGTTTTCTAGAGGGTCGGAGAGGATCCAGTAAATAACAAATGGCCCCTGACAGTGCTTATCCAATGCCCAGTACCCCAGGACAGGGAGAGGCATGAGAAGGGGTAACTGCCTGTCTCTGCTCAGGAAAGCCCAGGGCTCTCACCCCAGTGGCCCACCCGAGTCCAGCTGGTGATGACTGGGACAACCACTTGCCCCCCCACCCCCCCACCCTTCATGCCCCCCACTCCCTCCTCCACCCATGACTCAGAGGATATGAGTCGTGTTTTAGAAAAAAATAAAAAACAAAACAACTTTTTTGAAAGGCTGATGCCACCATAAATCTGGCCTTCTGCTTACCATACCCCCTCAGGCTATAGGAGACCCCAGGACAGAATGGAACATTCCAGGCCAGGGATTGGCAGAACTGCCTCCTTTAGTTTCCCTATTTTGCCTTTCCCCAGAAGCTAACTTGATTTCCCATGGTCCTGGGTATGACCAATCCCGCAGAAGTGAGACTTCCATTGTCACCCACTTCCCCCAGTTACCAAAGACCCATCCCTGCACCACCAGCCACCATGTGCTTGAGGGGATAACAGTATCTCAATCAGAGGGACAAGCCACTCCCTTCCTGGTCCTCCCCATAGCTGTGGCCAACTGCCAAGTGCTATGGAGAGGAACCTCCTCTTTTCATCACCCAGGAACAGCCCCATCTTCTCAAGCCTTACCCGGGTCTTGGCGGCACCCTTGTTTTTGCTCCCCTTTGGTCGGCCCCGAGGTCTCTTAGGTGTTGGCACTTCACTGGGCTCCTTCTGCAAAGAGAGATGGGGCAGTTGGAGATAGAAGGACACAGTAGAAAAAGTCCCTTCAGAAGACAGACTCTCTGCCCCAGCCCCGTGGGGTTAAGCCCAGCAAGTAATCACCCCTGACCCAGGAATCTAGAAGTCATGGCAGGAAAACATCTCAGGATGCGAGGCCTCTCAGTCTGATCATCTTTGCCAAAAGAACTCCGAGCCCCTCCCCTTGCTTCCCTGAGGGTTTCTGTGATAAAATGACGGCAAGAAGTAATGGCCAGAAGACTCCTGGGAAAGATGTTATGGGACAGAAAGATACTGTCAAGCAGCTGTAACTCCCACCTCTGCCACTGACTAACCTAATACTAACTGGACTCCATCTCCTGCCCACCCACCCACCCACCCTCAAGTGGTACTTTGCTAGAGATACACAAGAGAAAAAAGGACATCCCCATCCCCCCCCAGATTATTATCTCCCTCCACCTGAAAATCTTGACCCCCAGGAGAAATGAATTAATGCTCACAACCCCAGAGATCCCTGCCACTGAAATTTTAATAATCTCAACACAGAATAAAAAGCATGCCTAAAATGTATGGAAGCTGGACAGTAACTAGCTACTGTTTCCCAGGGGTGGTCACCCATGGGCCAATTGTAAGCATGGTCTGGTAACCCAACATCATTCCCCTGCATCCATGGTGGCCCCCACGGCCCCCACCCCCAATCCTGGGTACCAGAACAAGCCTTCTGGGAAAAGAGGGTGAAAGGGAGATAGGGAACTAGGCTAACAAGATGGGCCCCCCTCTTCCTGACTGTGAGCTCTGAAAGTGGCCAAATTCCAATATACATTGGCAGAGCCCTCAGAGCTCACGTAACCCTAAGCCCCAGAAAGTGATCAGTACAGAGAACTCTTTCCATCTCACAGACAGGGAAGACTGAGGCCTGCAGGTATGATCTGCCCAATGTGTCAGAGGCAAGTCACCCTCAATTCCTTTCATTACCTCGTCTTCCCAGTAAAGGGCCAAAACTGGACTCAACTAACAGCTGCTTCTTGTTTGGGGGACAGCTGCCCCTAAGAGAAGCCAAGATCTCTACCACACAACAGATGCCCTAAGGGCCTGGCTTGGCCCAGCTCCCTGGGGCACCCACAGTGCCAGATGGCTTTCCCATTTCTGTGGAACCTTACAGGTGGCAGCACCAAGGTTCTGAGAGTCCCTCTGTCCCCCCAACTCCCCAGCATTATTCAACCTCTTGGGCCTCAATCCCATTTACAAAGTCAGAGTCAAAGCCCAGCCCTACTCAGTGTGGCCTGTAAACAGTGGGGCAGCGCAGTGGACTCTGTGACTGACCCGAGGAGGAAGTACATATATTAACAGTAAGTACTTAGAAACTTTTATAGCACATTGATAATTTCTTGTGCATTGGATGAAATGATAACCCTAGACTTATACATGTTTTTTTAGTTTTTAATTAATTCATTTTTAGTGTATTTTACGAAAGTTTTGGTTTATGACACATTAAAGATTTTGATTTTTACCATTGTACAAACAATGGCCTAAATGACTCCTGGGTCCCTTCCAGCTTGGACTTTCTGGCACAGGCTTCAGAACTCCCCTCATGTTCCTCACCCTCCAGTTCTTTTCTGGGGTCTCAGGAGGTGGCTATGGCCAGGGTCAGAATGTGTAGGGTGTACGCACACACATACATAGTAATGATCCTGCACCCCTCCATTCCAGTTTTTACCTGCTCAGACACATCTGGCACCCCAAAACCATCAAGTTATGGTGACCCTTTTTTAGGACAGACTAGAAGTGACCCAAAGGGTTTCCAAGGCTGTAAATTTTCACAGAAGCAGACTGCCTCATCTTTCTCCTGCAGAGTGGCTGATGTGTTCAAATCACCAACCTTTTGATTAGCAGCCCAATGCTTTAACCACTGTACCATCACAGTTCCTTCTCTAGCCCAAAGGGTAATTCCTTCCCTAGCCCAAAGGGATAAAGCAAAGAAAGGTTCAGACACCCACCTGACTCCCTACCAGCGCTGTCCCGGGACTCACCGGAGGCTGCTTGCGTGGCCTGCCCCGCCCTCGTTTCTCAGTACCGTCCTTTTCCTGCTTGGAGGCCAAGGGCTGGCTGGACTTCGAGCTCGATTCGCTCATCTTCCCTTCTCTACAGAGCAGATGGAGCGATGGCTGGGATGCTGGGAGGTAAAAAAGTTGTTTTAAATGAAACATCTCCCTTTACCTGCTTCTCACCACCAAGGCACTCTGTAGGAAACTCTGCCTACTCCCAGGAGTACCCAAAATTCCCACTCTGCCCAGCACAGAGAGCTCTGCCTGCCCCCAACATGCTACCACAAGGCAGGGCAGGGCCATTGGCACTAATCAGCTCCTTATCTCCTGTTCAGAAGGGTTCTTTGCCCTGCCCCAACGCTGCCACCTCCACAGGCCTGGGGCCCATTAGGCACAGCCAGCCCATAGACTTGGCTATGTGGATTGAGGCCACCCTGGGCAAAGGTGTGGGACCAACATACTGCCAGGGTCCCCTCCCTCTATAGCCAGCAGCTGCCCCTTCCTTCTCTTGGAGAAAATCAAGGTCTTTGGTAGTTCTGAGGGGACATGAAAGGAAAGGTAAATGGAAGGAATGAGACCCAGGGATCTGGTGGCCATGTAACCACCAACCACCCATTCCCATCAGTGCCTTGCCCACTCCATCCACAAGGTCTAAGACTCAGGACCAAAGTTAAAAGGTCTAGTCTTGATACTCCACAGCCGATCACCTGGCCAGGGTTGGTGGCTACCCCAACAGATTCAAAGATGGAGACAATTTGGAAAGGGAGTAGAAGACAGAGAAATGGCTGAAATTCTAATAGGTAAGGAGTGGAAAGGAAAAGGAGCCCAAAGCTGCAGAGTGGATCTCTTCTTCTCTCCCCCAGGCCCATACCTGAAATCAGATGGCCTTTCCCTCTTTGACACTAGAGAGACAGGGGTTTCTCCAGCTGAGACAGACCCTTCTAACAGCTCCCAGGGGCCCTAGCAAGGCCGATTCCCAAAACTTTTTAGTGCTTTTCTGGCACTATCTGCCTTCTTAGAGGCCAGTTTGGGTTTAATCAGCCCCACTAATTTTGAACTTGCCTAAAATCGCCCACTGCAAGGAGAGTCTGTAGCCTATACTTGAAAATCTCTTCCAGAGGCTTAAAAATGATTGTGAGGGTCCCCCCACATCTCTATTCCTATTCCCCCAATTATAGATAGGGAAATAAAGGTGACCTGGAGACCTACAGCTCTAGACTTCTCCCCTAGTAACTAATCTCTGCTCTTGGCAAAGGGTGGGCCCAAGTGCCTCCACTTCTGAAATTTCTTTATCTGTAAAATGGGGATAATAATAAAGCACCTGACTCAGCTAACTTACTAAACTTAAATTGGTGCCACCCGTAGGCAAGGTGTGTTGAATATTCATTTTCTAAAAAATAATGGCCAGGAATTGTCATTCTAGTCAAAATGAGAAGTAGAACATTTGAAAATAACTTTCTTCCCCCTTTTCAGATCTTTAAGCAATTTCCAGTTTTAACCCAATGAAAAGAAAAAGATAATTCAGTATATGTGTGATTTTTGGAGGGCTGGAGGCCCCCATCTTTAAGCATCAAGAGGCCCTCCAGACAGCGGGACTTTGTCTGGTAATTATTCTATTTTATAATATTTCAGTATTTCAGACTTGGAGATCCTTTTAAACAAGGTGGTTGGTGATTTATCCTGCTCCGTCATTAGTGGCTTGGCCTGCTCTGTAATTACAGGCAATGATTAGAATCTTATATTACACCACAGGTCTCCCTTAAAAACTAAACATCAAAATTAATCAGCCAAATGAGGGCTGACCTCACATGAGGTTTGCCAGGTCCCACTTACAGAGGGGGGTTCCAGTTGAGCAAAGCCAGCCCTAAATCCCAGAGAGCCTGGGCTTGCCTGCCTGGAAGCTCTTATACCATATGGTGCCCCTACCCCACCCCTTGCTGCTAGAGACCCTTTAATCCACCCATCCTTCTTCTCTCCCCACCCCAGCCCAGCCCAGCCAGGCCCCCAGGACCTGAATAAACGCTTGAGGCCTCCTCTAGAGAAGCCAAGAAACGCTTGTCTCTTCCACCTGTTTGTGAACATCAGGGAGGCCTGGCTTAGAGAAGCCACATTTAGGGCCCAACTTCAATCCCTTGATTAGTATAAACCTGCTTAGGCCTCAAGCATGTCCCCTACATACACTTGTAGATGCACTGTGTTACACAAATGTTTAGGGACTCTGCAGAAATGACCCTAGGAATCATTTTGGAAGCTCTCTCTCCACTGCTCGTTTTCCAAAGAAAAAGGAGCCCAGAGTGGCCTGATCAGTTGCCCAAGGTCACACAGCAAGTGGTTGAGCACAAGTCGGAGAAGCTCCTGGCGACCCCTCCAGCTCCCTACACTTTTCTTCCCTACCTGGAGCCTGATTATATCCCTGTCGTCCCTTGCTACAGACCACTCCCCAGGGTGACTCTGCAAGTGTCTGCACCCGACCGTTGTAGGCAGGCCAGACAGCGGGACTAGGGGCCAGGGCGCGAGGGGGGAGGGGCGCAAGCCGCTCCTGCAGGCGCGGGAAACCGGTGCACCCCGACCGCATGCACCGCCACGCGGGTGTACCCGGACCCACTTCCTGCCAGAGGGGGCACCCAAGCCCGCCTTGGGGCAGGAAACCTGGCGCGCGCGGGCGCAGGAGAGGAAGAAAGCCACCTCCCTCAGCGCCCTCCCTGCAAAATACCCTCCCCAAAATAGAAACGGGGAGTCAAAGGGACTAGTCCCAACAGAGCCCAGCAAAGCTGAGAAACCAGTTTGTGGGGGCGGAGAGCAGGCCCGGCCCTGGGGGCTGAAGAGGCGCGGGCCGGGCCAGAGGTGGGGTCAGGGTGAAGCCCCAAATCCAGCCCGTGATCCGGCCTCATCTGCGGAGGAGGGACCAAGAGAAAGGCCCAGAGAGGGTTAAGAGCGAATTGTGGGGTAACTACCCATCCCCCTCACTTCTAGAACTTCCCCAGGCTGCGAGGGGGCGCCTCACCCCCCCACTCTCCCGTGGCGCCGCAGCTTGATGCTCTCCCCACCTCCCTGCCCCGGCTAGGGCGAGAGCCGCCGCCGCGCGAGGTGCACCGGGCGCCGGGTGCACAACTCGC